GACGCTTTGAGACCGTTGGCCACTCCATTTTTGGCATTTTTATCCGATCTGTCAGTTTTACAATTAATCGGTTGAAGGTAATCTAATTTGCGCATACACCAGGCTCTATTCTATTTCCGTTATTAATTCCCCGCACGTTCTGTCGTACAAAGTGATAAAGGTCATGATTGTAACCGATGTGTTTGCGATATCATCGATAAGTAACCTAGAGTACTAATCCTGTCTGATGGCCTGACTTAACTTCTTATATATAGAACGGTAACACGAATGAGCAGCGCTGGTCCACATTGGCAGACAATATTTATTTGTTTTTATTATTTTTATTAATTTTTATCAGCAGGTAATATTCGTGGGGCCTTTACAGTAAAGTGATACAATCATTCAGCCACGGTGCCAATCACATCGAAATCTCGATGACGTACTACTTTGCAAAGCATAAAGTGATAAAACTATAAAGTTTTGGACAGTGCACTCGTACAAAATGAGAGTGTGAAACTTTCCCTCCTAAAATAATTCAGCCAACGCAAAACATTACTGGTCAGTTGATGGTTCAGTTGGTACAGTAACGTGGTCTGGTCCGGAAAATTCGTGAAGAACACGTGCAAAACGATAAATACTTGTTCGCATGACAATAAAATATGTGTAATTTCAACATTCGAAAAATGTTTTTCCAGGGGTACTGTCGGCGGGTAACCATTTTCCGGTCATCCAGACTCTGGCCTTTGCCTTCTCCATCTTTGTGTACCTAGGGCAGCTGGTAGCCGGCGTCTGTTTCGTGGAGGCTTGGGTGCAAAGACGTCGTGGCCACCGAGATGTGACATCCATCATCGATCGTGAAATGCTCTGTGTTGGCCATATCTGCGGTGTATACCTGCTGATAATGATTTCTGCATGGTTCTTCGTGTTCTTGTTTCAATGTGACGTCGCCAAACTGGGCGTGGGGGGCGCCATGCAACACGCTGTCCAGGTTGATCGCACAGCAGAGATGGTCATGCTCGGATCGCTTGTGATGCTGATCGCCAGTATGTTTGTGACATACCATGCCGTTGCGCAGTATGCTCCCGTCTGCAACGATCCTAAGCTGGCGTCCACCGACGAAAAACAGCAACTGCTGGTCCGCGCTGATGGGCGAAACATGCTACCTTCGTCTTATGAATCCGTCGAAACGAAGATCACGGTGTAGAAACAAGATGTCCAGTGGAATCGTTGTCAGGAGGCTTGGATTCTCCATGTAGTTTGCGCTTAACGGCCCGTAACGGCCCGGCCCGCTTCGCAATTTTACGCTTCTGCTTCTCTGTGAACAATATGCTGTACGCAGCTGTTATTTGTTAAACGCCATGTGTGAATTCATAACACGCTTGCAATCAATATTAAATAATTTTGTCTCGGTATCTCAATGCATCTTTGCTATTGCACAGTCTTTCATGATACCATAAGCTGCCGTAAGCACAGCACCGTAACCTTTAGTTTATTAGTTAGTAAGGGAAACGCTACGACTGTGTTAAAGATGTTGGGAGGATACAAATTTTGGTTGTTTATTTAATGCTGTGAATTAATGCCTTTAACTGTGAATCAGAGCGACCGTGCTTGCAATTTAAGCTGTTTTGATAACTACTGCCAAGAACTTACTATAGGTAGATCTCACACTATAGTAAGTAGTTCCTACTGCTTACAATAACATTATAAAGTGCATAATATGCTCGTTTTCTTCAGTGTTCGGTAACCCTTTAGGCGGGTTTCAGTGAACAACGGTAAACACTGGACTACATGTGGAAGCTGAACGCATAATACGTGTAATTACTGAATATAAGTTTTGGTTTAAAATTATTGGTACTGATTACTAATTTGCCAACACAAACTGCAAACTATTGCTTAACATATGTAAGTGCTCGAATTTAACAATAATTTTCAATGCGGTATTTTTAATATTCAGTAATCAGTGCATAAGGCTTGTGCACTACAAAGAGGCCAGGGTAAAAAAGAGGCTCGTAATCATACGGCAATCCGTATGTGTTTCTCGCTTTATACTTCTCAAATTGGCCGCGTTCACCTGCAAAAATTGCAGTTTCCAAAAATATCTTTGAAAAAACCGTAATACCGCCCGCCAGTTAATGATGACGTAGTTATCCCGGTCCTGTCGCGACTGTTCGTGTATAAACTCCAGGGTGTGCATAATCTCCTGCTGGACGTCACCGTGGTGCTTAAGACACGCGTTGGATATCGATATGGTCTGCCGGCGGCCAACCCGTCCAATACCCGACAGACACATGTAAGCTCATGATGTGTATTTTAGCAATGAACGACAGACATATCAAAATTAATACGTGATACAGACCTTTTTGGAAAGTAATAAAGTCATTCTCGGTCGAGCGCTCCACGAATTTCACACAGTTGCCCGTCAAGCGGCTTATGATGTTCATGGATTCCTGTATCATCTGGATATCGCTTGCAGCTGGTAAATATAAGACCGGTGCTTTTTTATTTGATTTGTTTCTCCTCAATCCTCCTTTGGTTAACTATTTATGAAGGATCAAGCAAAAATAAATATCGTCAGCCACGCGAAAAGTTGTTTATATAAAGATTTTCGTGAAAACTGGTAAGGTATAGTGTTGTTTAGCCAAAATGAAGACGCACCGTCGACTGAATTAGCCGCTCCCTGGGTTTCTGCAACAAAATATTATATATTACGAGTACATCCTTATGCCGTTTTAGATAAAGTATTTGCTCTCCCGTATTACAACGCATTCCCTCCCGTATTTGTTCGGTCTGTGGATAACCTGCATTTGCGCCTTTTGGAAAACCGGTTGTGTTTCTTTACAAATTGGTGTTTCGCGTTATGACCCTTTGGGGAATAAACTGTACGGGTACTTCCGTATAACAGCCAAAATACGAAAACGTCGGCTGCTGCGCTTGAGTCTGTTTCAGACAACACCAGATTTGCCCAGTGCATGAGGGATTATCCATGCCCCATCAGACCGGCTCCGACGACCTTATGGGGAAAGACGGTGACCGCAGTCCAAGATTCGTCATATCTCTGCCACCTCACAGCCGCGTGGAATTGAAATAACCCTGAAACTTATCGTCTACGCCACCCTGGAATCCTTCACCGCAGCACTGAAAACTGTAGAATGGGAAATGTTGCCGTCAGTTTAAAAAACGGCAATGAAAAAATGTGTGTGTTTATGCTTATCGTGTTTCGTTATTCCGTCTACCACCACCTGCTATACCACGATTGCGACACAGTTGAAATCACACTAAAAGGCGATTACGTGCGTAAGTGTCCTTGCTTTCCTTTTACCACGATTTTTATTTTGAAAATTTTTCGAAAATTTGTGATTTAACAACTAATGTTTGTGGGTTTTGGTTTTATGCATCGACCCCAGCGCGGTCGCCTCCCTCCCTTTTTCTATAATAGCATTAACGTATCGCAACCGTACCGAGTACTAACTACTAAGCAACACCCCTGCGTGCCGTTTCATATGTTAACGCTTGTTGTTTTGTTCTCTTTGCATGGTGTCATAATAATCTTCTTGTTTTTACGATTTTTAATGTTAAACCGCTGAGATGATGGTTATTTCCTGCATGTGTTCTCTCGACCTGTTCATTGCTGTCTGGAGTCTAAAGAGGGCAACCGCTCCGCTGCAAAGACAATAAACTTCATTATTATTATTATTGTTATCCCATCCATATGCATAGTTCTGTACGTACAATACTCGTCTGTGCCTACTCATTTTGTAAGAGATCGATAATCGACACAAATGGCCGACATGCTGCAGGAACATCGACAATTAGCTTCCCACAAATTCAGTTTTTATCTCGAAGTACGTTGTAGTAATACACATACAGTTTATTGTAATGCAGTTTTTATGCAGTCATGTTCTAGTACCATATGTACATTGTACATGTCAATGAATCTCCCTTTTTTAGTTTAGTAAGGACGTATTTATCTAGAAGCTGAAAAATCGATACCACAGAGGCCGCTATAATTACTAAAAGATTAAATAATTAGCACCGCAATGGCTCGAAAAACACATTATGAATTTATAAACCTTTGTTCTATCGACTTATCAGTTAATCACCATGGTTATCGCGGATTGAGAACGCCATAAAAAAACATATCCTACTATACAAAATACTGGGTTGCCTTACGATTTAAATGTTGATTAGAGTGTTCCTTGCTTTTAGCAGTAAAAACATTTATTAACAACTTGACCCGCAAAATTAATTACTGGATTAGTTTTCGGGAATCGCTAGCGATCTTTACATTCCTGTGTAATGTGGGGTGTATTGATTTTTCTTTCACTACAGATAATAAATGATATTTTGAGCATTATAACTGCGCAAAGCTTATCTTGTGTTTAATTTTCCCCGCTTTGCACTTATGCTTTCCGGAAGTGCTTGTTCCAACCGTCTACGCAGATTCACGCAGGTGCTTACGAAGCATTCAAACAATCGTACCACAAAAAATGCTCTGACGTTATCAGAAAGCAGATACCGGCGGAAGTAACAAATGCGCATGACCATCGAAATGTGCCGTTAAACAGACACAGTACGTCGATAAACTAACAGACATAAAACACTCCGGCGGAGCAGCGGAAATGCCCTTTGCTTTCCCGTTTCAGTTCTCCCGTTACGCTATTCCGCTAATGTTTGTTAACTCAGGTTGACATTCAAGGGCATCATCGTTTGACTAACTTTACGTCGCTTAATACAAAATCTACTGATTGGCTCGCTGTACATGTAACTTTTCGAGGTAACATGGTAGTGTAATTTTCGAATACGTCTGTACGTATACTTTTCGAGTTAACACGGTAGTAAAACGTGAATATGTTGTACAGCATTTAGTCTTTCGAGTACGTATACCAGATTGGTGATTGGTGTAAAAAAATCGATCAATAGCTCAGCCCAACTTCGTAGCAATCAGCAGTTTAAATCATCCTTTATACAATTTTCGAAGCCTGTTGGCTCGCATTTTCAGTCATCAAAACCGGACAATACAAACGACGCTGAATTGATTTAGCCAAAGCGTTCGACTGCTCAGCCCACTTGTCAAATGGAGAAACCATCGAAGCGACTGGGAAATCCTAACATTATGCTGGCATTTGCCATCGTGGAAATCCTGTTGACCGGTCTGGGATTCGCCGCAAATCTCTACAGCCTTTTTTATGGTAAGTGGTAAGAAACGGGTAATATTCTGATATCGTTACGCATTTCTGGCAAGCTGTAGGCACTATTAAGTATTAGGCACAAGCGTTGAAAGATTTTTTGAGAAATTTACGTTAGATTTGCTTTCGCTACTCTCTCCTTAACCACCCAAATTCCATCCAGCTTGATATTTCTGGAATAAGAAAATTAGTAAAACTTTGGTCTACCGGTGATTATTTTACGCACTTCACAAATGGTTTATTAATTTTAGGTTGTTTGGTAAACTAGTAATTAGCCTTTCGATGTAGTTAATACAGTGCACTCGATGTGATTAAGCAGCTGACATTAATCTAATTTGCGCATAAAAGGGACTCTCCTTATTATGAGTACATATTACACTTATCCCAAGTGCAACCTTTTACTAAGTAATGATGTCACTTATACAGTAGAGCAAGATTATGATGCTTTGAGATCGCTAACGGCTCAATTTTTTGAAGTTTTTGTCTGATCTCTCAGTTTTATAAAAGCGACTAAATGATTTTAATAGCATAATAGTGCAAGGAATATGAACTGCTAATAAAACTACTAAAACATAAACATCAGATAAACGTAATTTGCACTTGTAGATTGGCATTCCTCTCTAGTGTTATCGATTGACTGGTTAATACAAGACGGGTCAAATTATCATCGATGATATCATCGCAAGCATATCAGTCACAATCATGACCTTTACCACTTTGTAGGACAGGGCTACGTACGGGAAATAGAGTAGAGCGCGGTTTACTAGCAAGTTAAATTAAGTTATTCGCATCGTTGCCACTGTGACAACCACATCGAAATGTCGAGTACCTGTTTTGCAAAATTTATAAATAATTCATCAAAACTTTGCAACAGGTATAAAATAATATGAATGTGCAAATTTTCGCTCCCAAAATAAATTATTCAGCGCAAATTTTTACGCTGGAGGTGCAGATGGTGCTGATCAATATTTATGGCTCCGTGTAGCTTTCGTGAAGAAAACGTGCCAAAGATTATTTGCATGCATCACAATCATTGATATTAGGGGCTTTGCGTTGCAACTTGTATGTCATATAAGTTAGCATCCATCTACATAAGTAAGACTTCCGGCCGTCGAAATTGGTTTATGCGTATGGCTTCAAACGAGCTGGTGTGCGGTACGCGTGTAGATGTGACCAGCTCGCTCGTAAACATACAAGTAGCCGACCTGACTGCCAGTCAATCCCCAAAACTTGCAGCACGATTCTTTCGTTTGCCTCTCAACAGAACTTCCCAATCGATATATCGAAAGATAGAGAATTAATTTTCAAACTTTTTGGTTTATAGCAAGTGGAAATCTATGGCAAATGAAGAAAGTTATGGCTGTTTTGGTTTCTCGTAAACAAAGCATAGGCCCGTGCGAGGAGGCGTTGCTTGCATCCTATGCTAAGTCTATGAGAAACTAAAACAGCCATAACTTTCTTCATTTGCCATAGATTTTCACTTGCTATATACCAAAAAGTTTGAAAATTAATTCTCTATCTTTGATATATCGATTGGGAAGTTCTGTTGAGAAATAAACGAAAGACGAGCGTTGGAAATTTCGAGATCCACTGGCAGTTCGATCAGTTTCGTGTATGTATGCATGCTAGGGGGTGGAGTTACATACATACGCGTAAGGCTCTTACGAGTATGCATTTTTGCACCGCCCTCACACAAGCACACATCTAATTTGCGCGGCAGCGAATCGCCGCATTGTGGGTTCGGCCATGGCGTAACTTGTATTGATGGGTCCTTAGTTGTGTAGCATACAAGTAGCACCGCAAAGCCCGGATTATTTCAATCTGTGTAACAATTTTCTTTCAGGAGCGCTGGCACCGGCCAACCATTTTCCGATTTTACAAATCCTGGCCTTTGTCCTCTCCATCCCAGTGTACTTGGGACAGCTGGCAGCCGGGATGTGTTTCATGGAGGCCGGTGTACAAGTATATCGCGGCCACCGAGATCCGACATCCATCGCCGACCGTGAAATGTTCACTGCCTGCAGCCAGATCTGCGGCGTCTACCTGGGGGCAATGGTTTTTGCATGGTTCTGTGCGATAGCGTTTGATTCGGATTGGTACATCTCCAAACTGGGCGTCTGGGGTGCCATCCACCATGTCGTCGATGCTGACCAGACCGGACAGTTTGTCATGCTCGGATCGCTCCTGACGCTAATCGCCAGTATGGTTGTGGTATGCCTTGCCGCTTCGCATTATGGTCCCGTCGACAACGATCCGAAGGCTGCGTCCACCAACGAAAAACAGGGACTGCTGGACCACGCGGATGGACGAAACATGCCACCTCCGTCCTATGAATCCGTCGAAATGAAGATCACGGTGTAGAAACAACATGTCCAGTGTGACCGTTGTCAGGATGCTGACATTCTACATTGAGCTTAACGGCCTCTTGCAGGAAACGCTTTGCAATTGTACGCTTTTGCTATCTTACGCTTCATGCTGCTCTGTGAACATAACGTTATACAAACGTAAAAATTGTTATTTGCGTTGAATGTGAGTATAAATACATAGTACTTAATAATATCGCGTTTATAATCAAAAGTTATTTGTCTTCACAATTTCCATGTTACTCTTCCTGCTCTAAGCTTTTGCATTAGCTGGTTTGACCGTTTTTGATAAGGGAAATGCACCTTTTTTTATTTATTAGTGGCTATTGCATAATTATTAAAGTGCTATGTGCTGTGCAGTAGCAGTACTGTATAATGATGCATAATGTCGTTGATTTCCTCACTTTTCGGTAACCTTTTGCCGGTAATCAAAACTGACATACGCGCAAAATTGAATGCTTAACAGACAGAATTATGTCCATAAAGCCATAATTATAAGTAATGACTTTACAAAGATACTGATTACAGACTATTAAATTTGCATAATAAGCTCAAGCATAACGTAGGTCATTTTTTTCGAAAAGGTTTAGAATGTGTACTTCGTAGTCAGTCAATAGCTTTTTAGAAATTGTGCATCATAAAGACGTCTCCCAAGGATATCTCTTAACGCATATTCCTACTCTACCGCTTCCTTTTTGTGAGCACTTTCTCGGTTCACAGCAGAGTCTAGTACTGTCGTCAAAACTACACGGATCGCCGATGGGTATGCAGGAACCTGGAGGCCTGAAAATTGACACAAATTTACTGCAGTAGGTAATTATTCTCTCTACTAAACGTAAGCGCTCTTTTGCAATAAGTACGTGCTCTTACGGTTTACACGTTCCATTCGGTTGGTTGGGCAGTACCAAGCAGAATCCACTACAGCAATATGCTCCGTTGATCCCGTTCGCAGTGCACAACTGGTCAGTAGCTATACAGTTTGACGGTACTCTACAATTTTTCGAAATAAAAATTCCGCATAAGCGATGATTTTGCTGTGTAAAATTTAAAGAACTTTCTCGTACTTAGCAGCTGGTGTAACGGTTGAACTAGAAATTAATTCCGTAAGGGCGTTTGTGGGAGGCTCGGAGCTCGGTACCGGCATGACAATCTCCAAACCAAGGAAATTGGCGGCGGTGGGCACCGCGCACCCAAAGCGTCGATGAATGCGCACTACGTCTAACGGGCTAAGGTTTTCGTTCTGTCCCATCTTGGTCTTCCTGATCTTTGGAAGAATTGTGGGCAGCGCGGGATCTTTGGCAAAGGCGTTGACTTTATAATGCATAATCGACTCGTAATCATACGGCAGTCCGTAAGTGTTTCCCGCTTCATACTTCTCAAACTGACCGCGTTCACCTGAGGGATTTGCAGTTCACAAATAAATCTTAAGAAAACCGTAACGCCGTCTGGCTGCGTACTTTCAGCAATATTATCCCAATTAATGATGACGTAGTTGTCACGGTCCTGGCGCGACTGTTCGTGTAAAAAGCCCAGGGTGTGCATAATCTCGTGCTGGACGTCACCGTGATGCTTCAAACACGCGTTGGATAATGATATAGTCTGCCGGCCGCCAATCCGTCCAATAATCGACAGACATCTGCAACCCCATAACGTGTATTTTAACAATGCACGACAGACATATCAAAATTGCTGCGTGAAACTTAGGCGCACCCAAGACCCTTTTGGAAAGTAATAAAATCGCTCTCGGTCGATCGCTCCACGAATTTGACACAGCTGCCCGTCAAGCGACTTATGATGTTCATGGATTCCTGTATCATCTGGATATCGCTTACAGCTATTGAATATAAGACCGTTACATTTTTATTTGATTTGTTTCTCCTCAATCTTTCTTTGGTTAACTAATTCCGAAGGACTATGCAAAAGCAAATATCGTCAGCCACGCGAAAAGTTGTTTACATAAAGATTTGCGTGAGAACTGGTAAGGTATAGTGTTGTTTGGCCAAAATGAGGACGCATCGTCGACTGCATTAGCCGCTCCCTGGGTTTTCTGCAATAAGGTATTACGAGTACATCCTTATGCCGTTTTAGATAAAGTATTTGTGCCCCCAATACCCTAGAACTATCAAGAGCCGGCGTTGAAGCACTGGTAAATTTAGGATTATCTAACTGTTATTTCTTAGTATTGTACGTTGTACTTGATTAAATTTCTCCACGTACTACCGGTGTTTCTAGTCCCACAATGTCGCCTTCCATCAGTTCGCTATCGTACCGCGTCGGCGCTTCCAATACCATTTTTGCGAGAACGTCAGGATGGATGTAATCCCGCCAATCTTTAACAGAAATCACATGTTGGTAGAAATCATTTACTATGTAAATTAAAAGCGTTTCTTATCTTACTATCCGGTAGTATGGCAGCGTACGTCGAAACGATGTTTCGCAGCAAAATTATACCAAATACTCTTATCACTGTATTCCTGGTGGAAATCATGTTGCGATACTTCCGATTCTGCCTAAATTAATTATTGCACAATCTTGCGTTCGTTCAGAATTTCGATGGATTTGGAACCGGTAATAACTACGGTATCAAGCAATGTAATTATGATGATTGGCGTAATTTCGCGGCACCGTTCGTCACATATGCAGGCATTTAAATATGAAATTTCCAAGCGCATAAACCATGCGCACGCAGACGGCTGCATTGCGTGAACATAAATTTTACGCCGGCGGAGATATGCAGTTTTCTTAGCTTCGGGCAATACAGTGCTACAAAAATTTAAGACTGGTTTGTAATTACGGCTAAATAAATTTGCTGAAAACTTCTTGTTTTAGTTGTTACAACACTACAATGAACACCAAACCTCGTTTCTGTACATTTATGAACATATCAGGACAAAGTGGCATTGGTGGGTATTGACCGTATTGTATAACTGCAAGATTTAAGATGACAGTCATGGGTGAAGGATACATCAATACTGAAAACGACTTTCATTTTTTCCTCTTATCAGATTCGATGTAGTTTAGTTGATTCGGTGTATTTTAGCTAAAACCGATTCATCATAATTTTGATACGAGTATTACAACAATAAGACGAATTTGTAAAAAGTTTAAGACCCGATAACGCGAATTAAATCGAAGCTATGATATCTGTATGTGTACATGCATCGTGACATATTTTCCACAGTAAAACATATCGGAATACATATTATTCGTCAAGATACAAACAAATAAAATTTATGTTAGTATTTTTATGGAAATAAATAATGCAAGTGTGAAGTATAAAAATGTATTTTGTTGTACTATACTATTTCCAAAGGATAATTGGACAGGGCAGCGTTATAACAAACAAATAAAAGTTTTCAAAAAACCTTCGGCGTAGTTGACTGCGCATTCAACACCAATCCATGCTTTTAGGAAGCGACTGCGTTGGACAACAGACATTCCGTAGAGCAAGCAACTGGAATGGGATCGCTGTTAATTTTCTTGTATAGTGGCGGTGCTGAATTCTGGGATCCCGAGTGGTCCAAAGACTTTGTCTCGCCTTTCAGCTCCTGGTAAACATTAGCGCTACCCCAGGCAATAAGCACTGCCACGACGAAAGCGACAGCGTGTACCACAATCCATCCCAGCATGACCAACTGTCCGGGAAACTCCGCCTGGAACGTGTAGGAGGCTGCGCCCCACACGCCCAGTGACCGGACGAACGGGTCGGCATGAAACGCAAACTCCATGGGTCCAGCAAGGAGCACCAGTGCCAGGCAAACTGCACAGCATCCGCACACCCCCCTGTTCCGTTCCGCAGCGAGATAACTACCAAAGCGTGCCGGGTCTCGGTGGCCGCACAAGACACGGGTACAAGACACGATGAGATAGATGCCGTTCCCCAACTGAAAACCGTACACGGGAATGGACACGAGGAACCCCAGAAACTGCAAGACGGGAAGCATGGCGTCCGTCCACAGCACTCCTAAAAAGCGATAAAGCTCACATTCAGCAGTTACAGAATTTATGAGGGCTGCACTAATGTCACGTGGTAGCTCTCTCCAAGCAAAAAATAAAAGTATAAAAACGAAATCCAAAGGTCATGTGTACACAACTTTTCAAAGAACGGCTAAAGTACAGGTCTAAAACCTTTTGGAAAATTTAAACTTGAATTTTTAGGCTTATAAAACGAAAGCCCAAAGGCTATGTATAAACAAGCTTTCAAAGCTGGCTAAAGTAGAACGTTTTGAAGAATTTATGTGGAATTTATGCTAGGAGGCTAAAGTAGAATTTATGCTAGGAGGTTTTAAACTTCCCAATTAAAACAAATCAGAATATCTAGTTCGCTGCTTACCATAAAAGAGGTTGTAGTAATTCGCGGCAAATCCCAACAGTGCCAGAATGACCTCCACGATGGACAAAACCAACAAACAGCGCGTATCATTCAAAACATTCCGTACTTTCATCATTGTAAAACTAAATTTACAGGAATCACCAGCTTGGTGTGAAATAAAGCACGATGCACCCTTTGAAAACTTAAATCTTTCTGGTGCAAATAAATAAAATCGTTACGGATTGACCCTCCCGAGAAAAGTAAAGTTGCGCACCACCCGGTCGATGTTGTGTTGATGATGATCGACAGTTGTTGACTGGCACTTTCACCAAGGGCGGACTTGCTTTATAAAACGCCGGTGCTGTACATTCCGAATCTGGCAAGTAAATATGTCTGCATACAACGTTCACTGACCCGTCATTCATTGTATTTAATATGGCGTAGTTCGAGCCATCCGGAAATTTGTTTCAAGGTTATGGCCATGGGAGGATGATCATGAAAGGGAGCTCACATGCACTCTTTATTGCACAGCTCCACAATTTAAGGCAAACCAGGAGTGAGTAATCTCCACTTGTGCAGTGCGTTTAACAACTTGTTAACGTTCGACAGTTTAGCGGTGTACAACGATAAAAGGCGCTGGATGTGCGGCTTATCGTGCGCTAAACTGTGCACGTGGATGAGTCATTTCACTGTACGACTCGTACGAGCAAGCGCTATACGAATTATTTAGAGTACTCCTATTTTATTAATTTTGTACATGTTAGATCTCGCCTAAATAACAATCCATGTGAACAGGGAAGTTGGAGTTCATTGCTGTACACATCCAGATCGAGGTTACTCGCCGAGCAGAAAACACCCACACAGCGGGAAGAAAAGAATTTTTGGTTGATTGCAAACGACAGACTGATGAAACATTTTTGGCTGGTCAAACAAACTAACAAAAGCAGTGGAAAGTTAATAACGGCCTTTTTTACTCAATGCATGTTCCCCACGTCGCAACGAACACCATGCCGAAGCGAGGCGAACCCCGTCCATAAAAATAATATACGTGTACATATTTCTCTTTGAACCTTATACATTTTGAACTTGACATCTGCGAGTACATGGAAGCACGTTCAGGGGCATACCGGAACCTTTGGACGTTGTAACTTAATTCAAGTAACACGGTAGTAATTTTTTACGAGAAAAGGAGACCAAACAGCAGAATGTTCCTTTGCATGTGAAGCAAAATAAGCAGTTATTAGTACTTAATGCAGGAAATACAGGTTTTCCCCTTTAATACAGGTTATAGTGATACAAGTTTTTCCCGTTTAAAGAAATGGCCCGGTATATAGCGTAAAAAATGGTACGCTAATACATACAGAGTACGCTAAAACGTTAGCTTTCGCGCACTCCGAATCACTTGTCTGCAATACTTTTATCATTCTAAAGTTAAATAAAAATTTGTATACATTGTTCTGAAAGCTGTTTGAGTGCGCAACATCCGGTTGCCAAGATATGGCGTAAAATGGGTAAAACGTTTAGATGCATTATTGTGTACCAAAAGTCTGGTTATTACCCGATCTTCTTGAATCTTTTTCTAATATTTTAAAATTCATTTTAAAATTATGGGAAAACAATATGAACCTGAAATTGATTCACTTTCGACTTCAAAGCCATGTGTATTTTGCAGCAAAGTTTCAGGAAGATCGGCTAATAACCAGACTTTTGGTACACAATAATGCATTTTAACTTTTCACCCATTTTAGTACGCCATATCTCGGCAACCGGATGTTGCGCGCGCAAACGGTTTTCAGAACAGTGTACGTATGCACAAATCATTTAGCTTTAAAATGACATAAAGTATTACAAAAAAGCGATTCGGAGTGCGCGAAAGCGAAAGTTTTTACGTTAGTGCATGTATCCCATTTTTGCCACCATGTACCGGGCCATTTCTATTAATGTGTTCTATAATCATAGTTAAATAAAAGTTTATTCATCCATAGAATTAATGGCAATGGGTCATATATAGAACAAATACGATATTTTAAGTTCGTTTTGTTTCTGTAAAAGCATTGATAATTGGTTCAATGCAAACACAGAGATATACACCCGTAAAAACATGGTATCTTGTTGCGCAATATTGAGAAGGACCATGGTAAAAATTTTCGGATTTCTTACTGGTGCTAATAAAGTAAATCCCGCTTCGGCGGTCTCGCAGTAGCCAAGCAGTGGATACCTAGTCCGCGTCGCGCTAGTAAACGTTAGGAGATCCTACTGAGGATAATGAATTTATTTCCAATAGAGCGATAACAATATCCAGATTCAGTTACATTTAAAGGCCATGTTTAGTTTAGTTTAGTTTGGTTTGTTTCCGAGCAGACAAACCCTGAGGCACTCAATAGTCTGGTCAATGTCAAATGTCAAACAATAAAACAGCAGAAAATTTAAACGATATTTTTCAGACGCAGTAAAGACAGGAAGACTTCAACAGAACCACAACGAAACAGATTATCTCCATCCTTCATAATTTTATTAAACAGATCTTTAAGCCTCATCGCTAGGGTCGTCTCCCCGATGCTCCGCCGCGCGGTAGCATCGATCCGCTCTGTCCGGCGGAGTCCATATTGCGAACCAGTGTCCTTGGAGGGAACCAAGTCGCACATGTATGACGGTACTGCAAAATTTTCCCGGTTGCGGATCTTGAACAGCCAGGCTGCTTCCTTCTGGCGCCACCGATCTTTTGCTGGTGTAATCCCCAGCTGCCGGTACAGTTGCGGTGTTGCCCGTATCCCGTATCCGGCGTTCGGAGGGCAGCATCCTGACGTTTACTCAACATCTCCCGCTCTAGATCTCCCGCTCTCCGACCTATCCTTATGTGTTACTTATCCTTATGTGACTTATGATCCTACTTGAAGGCCATGTAACTTATCGGCTCATCGCGCCGCGCATGTCAAACTGAATTTTATTGTATCCCGAAGCGTTTTTTGATTCCAGCACTATTCAAGTGTAAGTAGTCGTGGATGGTGTTCATCATTTTTAATCTACGCAGCAGGTAAACGATAACCAGCATCTGCGTCATTTGAAAGAGGGTCGACTCCCTTCATTGGGAAGCAAACAGCAGTGGAGTTTTTTACATGTTCTGCGTCGGAAGGGTATGTATTGGATATTACTCACACAGTATTACAACACGCACATTACTACAACTAATCAACTACTCCACCAAGTACGTAGACAGACATTACGTACATAATACATTTACGATGAATATCTATATAAAAAGCAGGAACGTGAAGCACTATCGGTACCTATCACGCTAATATCCGAATATACTTGCATCACTTTAATACTGCACTGACGTCAGCACAAAGTACCACCTTGGTGGAACTGCTGATCGTTATCCACACAGCATGATCAGTGATGCAGTATAAATCTTTCTCCGCAGCATCGCAGCATCAGTCGGTATACCTCATTCATTATCGCTAAAAAGTAATTCTTCTACAGCAGAAATTTGACGCCCTACTTGATTCTGCACCAAGTTAGTGATCGCCATTAAATCCAGTTTTGCCATGACGGCAGTACGAAATTTATTGAAAGGCACGCGCAGTTTGTTGGAACTTTCCGTCGCGGAAGTTGTTCTGGCAGTGCTGGGATTCGCTGCAAATCTCTACAGCCTCTTTTATGGTAAGAAGCGAATTTATTGTGATGCGATTCTTCGTTGTTGTGAAACTCTGAAACGCTACTAACACTACTCGTAAATTTAACCTGGAACTATTAATTTTCTTGAAGTCCCACTTGCCGATTTTTGGGTAATAGCGTATAATTAATAACAGACGGCGCTAATCTAAACTACTCTCAGTGACTCCCGTTGTAAAGGCGTACACATACCATGGGATCTACTCTTATTCTGGTACGCTGTAGGTTTTACTGTATTGCAGTGATATCATCGATTGCTTGAATCAGCCTGACATCACACAAAATATAATATGTGTTGATACCATACCGGTTACCGTTGATTATCGATCTAAAGCGCCAGCGGCACGCGAGCAACAGCAGTAAACGAAATTACCCTGGGTAAAAACTACAGTGTTACTACCACGTGACCTTAGCAGCATAATATAACCAATCCATTCAAAAGTTATATTATGCTGAAAGTGGTGATGTATTTTTTGCTAAATCTGTTTTTTTAACCTTTTTTAGGAGCGTTTCTTACGGTCAACGATTTCCCGACCCTCCAACTTCTGGCGTTCATCGCAACCACCCTGGTATACGTTCTCCAACTGGTCAGCGGCGGCTATCTTATCGTGTCCTGCATACGTGTCCTGCGCGGCCTCCGCGACCCGGCACGCTTCGGGAGAAATCATGGTGAACGCCACCCGATCTTGTGCATATTCTGTGGACTCTACCTGCTTCTTCTGATCGTTTTCGGAGTAATCCAGTTCTCGGAACGTGCCCGGCACTTCGTCCCCTCACTGAGCGTGTGGGGTGCCGTTCATCAGGTGTTCCGGACCGAACCCATCGGACAGCTGGTCCTGCTGGGATTGGTTGTGATTCTGGCCGTCGAATTCGTTCTGGCAATGTTTCTTACCGCGCGAAGTAAGGATCTTTATGAGGAGCTTGAACGCGAGAAAAACGCGGCAACGCTTCTTGTCCACTTGGAAAGTCAGGATTCAGCTCCGACTCGGTACAAGGGAGTGCAGTATTCAGCTCCGCCACCATACAAGGGTGTCTAACTGAAGATGGAAATTTGGAATGTTCTTCACGGAATCTAATGGTTCCTCTAACTCTAAGAATAGATTTGCGCCGAAACCCTAGTCAACTACACGTAACGGTTTCATACAGTGTTTTGTATATTTATCACTGACTCTGTCATGTTCCCTTCTCTGTCATTAATATACAACCAAAATGGTAGAGGAATGCCATTAATTTTCCGTTTTTTTTACGTTTTTATTGTGAGAATGGGTCGCGCTGATTGTGTAAGAGCCACCATATGCACTCTCTTTCTATTATAAATTCTTGAAGAACATGTAAGCATTTCAGTTTGTAGTTTGAGAAGTTTGCTTTGTCATAAATATGTTGATTTGTTTATGCAACGATTTGTTTATAAATATGTTGATTGGTTCGGTACCATGAAGCCTAAATTTATCGCTCGTATCCTCATAATACCGGCCTGCCGCAAAAGTGTTCAGTGACGGTGATAATAACCACTTCACAGTTGGCGTAGAATACGAGGTATGAAAAAAATACAAATCAGCCGGTCGGTTAGCGGGTTAAAAATTCAAAATTAAATCAATACTTCTACACAGTGCGCATCACATCGCCAGCACTGAGTTCGAGCAGAGAAGCGCATGTTATTGTTCACGCCATATGGGTTCAAAAGAAGCATCTACCCGTCTTTATAACAGACTGTAGTAAAAGGTTAGCGCCTCACACATATTCCCCTTCTTCCGCTTCCTTCGTGTAGAATCACGAATACACTGGCGGTTTTGCAGCAGGTGCAAAATTACACACAGCGCCGACTGTCGGTATCTGGTGGTCTAAAATCAATAAAAACAGCTTATATGTAATTTACCGACAGGAGCTAACAAGTAAGCAACAGTACGTTCCTACAGACTACACGTTCCATTCGGCTAGTTGGGACGAAGCAGAAGCCAGTAAAAAACATGCTCCAGGGATCCCATTCGAAGTACATAATATAACATAGAAGTACTGGTCCCAGCTTATACAGTTTGTAAGGAGAGGCCGATATTAGCTTCCTGTAAATTCATTTTTTATCTTAAAGTAAGTAGTAGCCGAGTAGTAATCCACGCAGAGTTTATTGTTATGCATTGTTATACAATCATGTTCTAGTACCCTACATGTCAATGAACCCACCATTCTATTTAGCGTAAGGACATATTGTAGCGATAGTATTTGTACGAACGATAAGACCGCCCAGTTATGATTCATTCCATCGCGTTATGAATTAATGTGTCCACTTTACCGGCTAGTTTCCCTTCTCATGAATTTCTAGAATTCAGTCTTGTGCTCAGCTTGCTACAGCTTGCATCTGCTTGATTGTTCCTCTTGCTGAAACTCTTGCCGTAAACCTTGCTCCGTTTCTTGAACGCCTTGTCATTAAACACGCCTTGAGTTACGTTGTTGTGTTTGACCGCTTGGGATGAACTTGTGTCATCCCAATCGGAGCCACCTGTGTAATTGTGTACATCAGTAAGCGTCCTCGGCCAGCATCGTTGCCGGTCGTACCACCTTTCACACCAACAGCCGTTTAATCGTAAAGGCTGATCGCCACCCCACTAGGAAGTAGCCAGATAGGCCACTGTTACAATATTGATTACCAACCTGAAAACGATACCATAAAGAGCGGTATAATTACTAAAAGTATTAAATAAGTATCGTTAACAGCGGCAGCAGCCACCTGATACTATGTTAAGCGTATTATGTGTTTAATTTTCCCCGTTTTACCCTTATGCCCTTCTTTCCGGAAGTGCTTGTTCCTACAATCTATGCAAGTTCACCCAGGTCTTTACGAAGCTTTCAAACAATCATACCACAAAAAATGTTGTGACGTTATCTGAAAGCACCTACCTGCACTCGGACGGAAGTATCAAATGCGCAAGGCCATCAAAATCTGCCGCTAATCAGGCACATTACTTCAATAAACTAACACTCCGGCGGAAAAGCGGAAATGATCTTTGCTTTCCCGTCTCAGTCCTCCCGTTACGCATTTCCTCTAATGTTTGTTAACCCAGGATGACGTGTAAGGGCATCACATTTTTATGGTGATCAGCTCTACATTAAGGGTCGTCCGAGGTAGGCAGAAGACTGTACATCACAACGGCTACGGCGCAGTTTCGTAACAGTTGTTTACCATTATTGGGAATCATCGATTCATTCGAGAGTCGTGACGTTGTTTAATACAAAATCTACTGATTGGCTCGCTGTCATATAACTATCTACAGAGGTTATGGTAGTATAACGTGAATGCGTTGTACTACACTTAATCTTTCGAGTAAGTCAACCGAACTGGTGATAAGGAAACTGATCAAAAGAGCATAATTTTGCAGCATTCGCTCTGCAGTTTAAAATCACCCTAACATAATTGGTTTTATGCTGTACGAGTTTACGGTGCGTTTGTACGTGTGCTCCCGGTTGTACTAGCGATGGCGTATGATCCGTGTTCTTATCGGCAGCCTCCGATTAGAAGCTGCGCTTCGTCGTCGGCTAGCATTCGGCAGTTTCGGTGTGACTGAGTTTGGGTGAACATCAGTAAGATTAAAGTGAGTAGCATCATTGTGATCCTGTTGGTGTTTGTGTTGTGAGTGACCTTCGTTTAGGGAAAGCAGTAGTGCGTACCTAGGCGGAAGTAACGCGTCGGTATTCCTGTGGTGTAGTAGTGTGGTGTGATAAAATCGTGTATTTTGCACTGTTGCTTACGGAAGTAGGCAGCAGGGCAACACCAATCTCCAGAGTTCCTTCTTTGCTGACTGCGGTTAGGTTGGTAGTAGTACACGTGTATTATGTCAACCCTTTAAACAATTTGTGGAACCAGTTCGCTCGCATTTCCAGCCGTTAAAACCGGACAATACAAACGACACTAGATTGATTTAGCGTAGACGTTAGTCTGTTAAGCCCGATTGTCAAATGGAAAGATTGCCGAGGAATCCTAACAGTTTTCTGGCACTTGCCATCACGGAATTCCTGTTGACCTTTTTGGGATTCGCCGCCAATGGCTACAACCTGTTTTACGGTATGAATCAGGCTGTAAGTGCACTCTGATGTCGTTTCCTGTCTCAAGCTGTAAGCATTATCCGGCACTAGAACTGAAAGGTTTTCGAGAAGTTTAGGTTATATTTACTTTCGCTGTTTTTTTTTAATCTTCCCGATTCATCCAGTTTAATTCTTCAATTATAGGCCCTTTATAACAATTTGTAGTACTGGTCGTTGAACCGTTTTATACGCATTTGCCAAAATTTTATGATTTTATAAATCTTTACAAGAGAGGGGTAATCGAGATTTCGATGAGGTAGCACCGTACCGAAGATGCGAATATTTGTTTGATTCTAATCTAACTTGCGTATAAACCATTTCCCGTTTGCAGTATCTGTCCTACAGGGCGTTAAAGGTCATGGTTGTGACTAACATTCTTGTGATGATGCCGCCTTTGCATTTTTTAAGCGGTTCCGCGCTCTAAATCGATCGGTAATACTAGTAAGCAATCTTCGTTTTTTTAGTACGTTTAACACTATTGTTGTACAACGACAAATGTACAATATTACTTCTATGGCAAAGCAAGGTCATAGCGGATTATGATGCTTTGAGACCGGTAGTGGCACTCTTATCTGATCTGCCAAGTTTTACAATTGTGCCAACGATGCGAATAATCAGCTCAGGTTAATCTAATTTGAGCATACGATGCTCTTTCTATTCCCCGCACGTTCTGTCGTGCAAGGCAGTAAAGGTCATAATTGTAGCCGATGTGCTTGCGATATCATCGACGGGTAACCTACTAATCCTGCCCTACTGATGGGTAACACCAGTGAGCAGCGCTGGTCTACACTGGTAGGGATGGCAAGACTTCACTAGACTTCACTTCACTAAACTAAAACTTCGTCAAAACTTTTAGTCACTAAAATTCACTAAACTAAAATCATTAGTTTCGCAAATTTTAGTGACGGTTAACCACTAATTAGTTTACTAAAAAAATTTTGCCATCCCTATACACTGGCAGAAAATATTTATTTGTTTTTATTATTTTTATTGATTTTTATCAGCAGGTACAGCTTAGGACAAAAAAGACGCATAACCGCAGCCACAGCATTCCGAGCGCATGCAGCGCAGTGCGCTGCATGCGGTCCAGCAGGTTCCATTGATCATGGTTAGTGACATCACGGATGCGGCATGCACGAAAGGTCTTATCATACTCCAACCACACCGGCGGCAGGTAGACACCTGCCATTTCAGTTATAATGGTATGGTAGGAGTCGAGCGGCTGCTGCAGAGTTGGATGGTAATAACTGCGCACACGGCGAAACACAATGAACGTTTCCATCTCGAAGTTTCCATCTCTAATCTCGAATTTAGCTTCTCCCTGAATCGGCGACATAATGGTATTCGCCCTAAGCAGCTTATCTAAGTCAACGTTCACCGTGAGATCGTACAGCTCTTCAAGACATTTCTCACTGACAATTGGGAACCCAGCGGGCAACGGGGGCGGTTTTTTACTGTTACTCGCTCCGGTGCTGGTGGATGGCGTCGCCTGGGCCTCGTTGACTTTCTGAGTAAGCTGGGCAAGCTGGTTCTGCTAATTCATCATGAGCTGAAGCAGCATAGTCGTTTCCGTCGGTGGTGGCTGTGGAGGCAGTGGTTGTGGTGCCTACGGTGTCGACAAAACAGGGATGACGTCCGCGGCCTTCTGCGCTAACAACAACCGCAACTGCTGCTTCGCCATGGCAATCCGAGCATCCAGATCTCCTGCGTCTTCTGCGTCAATACTTTCTCCAGTTGTCGTCGGACGGGTAACAGGGTTCACGCGCGCACGTGGACGGCCGCGAGCTGGCCGTGCCGCAGGTGGTTCAGGCGCATTGGGTCTCCTACCGCGCCGTCCGGTCATATTATTAACAGGAAAATTGCAAACGTTAACTTTCAATGATCAACATCCAGTTCTGACACACACGAAAAGTGAGGATAACAGGCAAAGGACTCGCACATGCCGAAAACACCAATGCGATAGATACAACTAGGCCAGCATGAGATAGAACTGACGGTTAGGTAGTCCTTAGGCAAAAAGGCAGTTTGCACACCGTCGCAAACAGGAAAGGCAGGCGATTCGCTGGCATACATGCTGGTGCTACATTCCAGGAAGGAGGAGAAAATGCATCCGTCGGTTCGCTCAAAGTCCGGCGGCTAATCTTTAATGTCCTGTGCAGAAAGA